GTTTGGGTGATTGTTATTTGTCTTTGGTTTTGTTTGGTCTATTTGTGTTTGTCTGTCTTTCTTTGTCCCCGACTATCATGGGACAAATGTCTTCTGTGTCACTAACACCCCTAACCTTGGTCCTTAACTATTTTAAAGATTTCAGAGAACAAGCCGAAGGGATTCAGAGAACCTGTGTTTCCTGGCAAACTGTGGGCTTTTTGTGAACTTGAATGGCCCTCCTTTAATGTCTCTTGACCTCCCAAATGCACTTTTGTTCTTTCCACAGCTCGGGCCTTTGCCAGGTCATTTTTTGACCCACCTGTCCATCCAGATCAGATCATCTACATATAAGTCTGGATTGACCTCATCTAGGATCCACCCATCTGGATCAAGAAATTTATCAAGGCCGTAAACCACCCTCCTACACCCTCCCCACTTCTTGGCCCCCTTAACTCCTCCAAAAAAAAAAATCCCCTCTTCTCCCCCATCCATCTCTCTATCACCCTCTCAGGATCCCCCTCCGGCCCCCACTCAAGGACTCAGAGCCGACATCCTCTACCATCTGTTGCTGACACCCTGAAATGACTCAAGGTTTGCTGTTCTGGACACCATTCTCAGACAACTGGCCAATTCCACCTGGTCGCGCTGGCAGTTCCAACTGATAAGAAGCAGCTGTGACCCCCGACCATCACCCTCAGAACCTGCTTGTTCCACCTGCCAGCCAGTACACAGATAAATTCATTATGCAGTTGTTAAAATATTGGTCAAAATGTGTTGGTAAATCTAAGCTAAAATATAAAATTGTTATAAAGTTATGGTATTTCTTTAATGGGACATTTTATGACTATTTTATACTTGTATACGTTGCATTTGAACTAGTTGTTAAATGTACTGGTATTCCTTGCTCAATTTTAGACAATAACACTAGAAAGGGTAAGGTTAATAAGCTTCCTAGTGGATTTTATGTAAACTTCTGTAAAATGAGACTTTCAGCCAGCCTGGACTTAGAAAATCTACATGCCTGCATATAAAAATGGGACTCCTTTTGCCAATTAAATGACATTAGGTTGGCAACCGTTCTTAAAGACTTGGAGGACAGGTTTCACTGGGATAGACTGGTTCTGATCCCCCTCTACATGCTAGAGGGAATGTCGGGCCTGATCTGTTTCAGTTTCCTTGCTTTGACTTTACTCCTAATTTTCCTACTCTTTACACTTTCCTTTTTAGAGGCATATAAAATTGGAAGAAAAAAAAACAAACCTATGACTGTTCCAGCTAAGTAAAGCCCTTAGAAAATGAGCATTTGTTAATGCCAAAGACAGAGAAGTCATTCTAGAAAAGGACACATACCCTGTCTCTGGGTCAAATGAGACAAAGAGAACTATGCCCATCCAGGAGGACACATATAAAAGCCATGTCTCAGCTTAGTGTTCTGGGCAGGTCTCCTTCAGGAGACTAAACCTGAGACACAGTGGAGAGAACCGACTTGTGGGTGACACCAGAAGAAGCTATCTCCAAAAGCAGCACACTTATGAGACCAAAACATTTAAGTGTGAAAAAAAAAATTTTGACCTTTTTTCCTAAGTTTAGATATCATTTAAATGGGTAAGAGATAAGTTATAGACTTAAGGCCTTTACTATAAGGTGCTTAGGTAATCTTGTTCAGGCTTTTTTAAATATTCCTTGTAGAATTTAGATGAACAGTGGTTACTCTGTCAGCTAGTAAATGCTCTTAGAACAACTGCCACTCTTTAAAGCAGAGGACAGGTTTCCCCAGCCGTTCTTCGGTGAATCCACACTAAAGCCTATGGCTGATGGAACGTTGACCAGAGAAACTGCTGGATTCCTTTCTGGAGACACCTCTGGCTGTGTGAGCCAAAAGAAACTGAGAATACCTAAGAGGTTAAGGTGCCATACCCAAAGGTTCCTTGGTGGAAACTGGCTCCTAATCACTAAAAGCTCCCCACTTACCTATTGTACTTTTTCTCTCTGCTAGTAAACTAGAAATTTTACCTGAGCCTTTTAGTAAAACAAGTTAATGATTCACTCTTTCAAAAATAAGGCTGAGACAACTTACAATAATGGTTATCAGAAAAAGCTTACATCTGCTTTACGTGTTAACTAAGAATAAGATGATTGCCAGCTGTATTGTGCTTTTACCAATATTGTAAAATGTGATGCTAAATGATAAGTTTCACCTGTGAGTTTCAAGGTTAACTCTTGTTCAGTTGCTAAAAATATTTATGTTGGGCAGGCGGTATAGCTCAGCGGACTAAGCGCTTGCTTAGGTAAGCGCAGGGGCTAGGGTTCAATACCTGGCTCCACGTGCCGCGCCGGCCCTGCCTGCGGGTGTGCTGAGCCTGCGATGGAGTCTGGGTGCCATGGTGCACACCTGTAATCCCAGCACTTGGGAGGCAGAAATCAGGAGGATCGCTACTAATGTGGGCTATGTAGTGAAACCCTAAACAAAAAAAAAAAAAAAGAAAGAAAATCTAAAAATATTTATGTAATGTTAATCTTAAACCAAGCTTTTGACTTCTATAAAAAGGCAGACAACATTATAAGCTGATGTTAAATTTAGAAATAAATGTCATATTGTCAATTTTGAAACAACCAAAAGATAAACAGCCAGTCTATCGTGGTTTAGCTGTAACAGGAACTACCTGCTCCCACTGGAGCCCAAGCAGTCAGACCTCTGCTGGCCTAATAGCCAGGCAGGAGATTATAATAAAAAATATTTTGTAATATGTATTCTTGAAAGTCTAGAAAGAACTAAGACCAAGCCTTCAGTTACTAAATTTCAGCTATTTACCAGGAAAAAGATAAACGCCCCTCTGATTTCTTAAAATGTTTAATAGAAAAACTGGTAAAGCATAATTTTTGAGAAGCTAATTCAGTAAGGGGGCAGATTACTTTTACTGATAAGTTCATTATTTAGTCAGCTTCAGATATTAAGAAAGAGCTACAAAAGATAGCTTTTGCTCCAGACAACTCACTTGATGCTTTATAGGACACTAAGGAAACAATGTCCTATAATCGAAACTGGGAGAGAACCAGGGAGAAAAAGCAAAAAGACCAAAAACGGCTGCCTTTGTTGTGGTCTCAAAACAAACCCTAACTCTGATTCTCTGGGCTCCAAGAAGAGCTCAACGTACCTACTACTGCTGTCAGAAACCAGGCCACTGTAAGAGGGACTGCCTTAAAAGGCCCACAAGCCATGCCCTGACTGCCAAGACAGCCACTAGAAGTGAGACTGCACTCTGAGGCGGGGGCCCAGAGCTCAGACTCAGCTTCCCAGATGGTCTAGTAGGACTGAAGGGCCCTGGGCCTGCCTCCTCCTTCTGGCCAAACTGTCATCTCTACCTGTCACCTCCACTGAGGAGCCCTGAGTAATCACGACTACAAGAAAAAAACCCAGCCGATTGCTGGATATTCTCTTTCTCTTTCTCCAACCCTGACCTTTATTCCAGTCATCATCATCTTATTTTAGTTGTAATTGAGATATATTGTTCATATAGATAAAATCTTGTCAATGTAAAAAGTGTCCAATAGCTTTGGGCCTATAAATAAAGCCAGGCCTGGCTTTAAAACATAAAACTCAGAGCCAATGCTAAAAAGATAAATCCTTTCATAGTGCCCCTTCCTTACAATAGGAGTCATATCCAAAACTGAATGGGGCATTAGTTTGATCTGACTGAATACTATATATTTCATGATAAATATATTAAGTTAGCCTGATTGATTTTTGATGTAACTCAGATATTTCATGCTGATAGTAAACACAGATGTAACTTTAAAAAAAAGAAATATGCCAAATTGTACTTAAATTAGTTAAAAACATTGACAATAATAATAAGGTATTAATCTGATTTTCATATGTTCTCAAAATTCAAAAATAATTATAAACATAGCTAGAGGGACTTATAGCAAACTGCCAGACTCCATAAATAAAGGGGTCTAAAAGCTACTGGGTTATGAATGCTAGCTTCAAATAGTTTATACATTTATCTGCTAGCTCAAAGGCTTGTGCTTTGATTATA